ATGTCAAGGACTCTCAGAAACACGTCACTATTAATAAGAAGATTATGACAAATTATTCAATAGTTAGAGTGTACTGTGTGTTAAGGCATTTATCAACTCCCACAACAATAGGGAAATTGGAGTTGAATATGAACAACTATAATTAAAGCAAAAATATTCAACAATGTAAAGCATGGAATATCAATATTACATAAACTGTACATTATATAAAATTGACTAACCAATCATATTTATTGGGAGATTCATAAAAGGCTGGAGATACTAACAATACAAATGGATTAGTGGGTGAGTTTGGTTCGGATTGAAGATAGCTCAAGAAATAATGTGAGAAAATTTGCTTTATTTTTCTGTCAATAAATTGATCCTTATCAATCATAAACAAACCATGAAGGAACTATAAAGAATAAAATGAGATAAATAAGAAAAATGATTATTTATTTACGTGACATAAATATTTTCGAATAAGTGCTGGTATTTCTGGTGGCTGGCAAGATGATGAAATCATTAGCTTATTCAATAGAAGTGGCAGTAGACACTTGCTATCAGTCTATAAGGTGACCATTTATTATTAGTTAATAGTGACCTTAGTAGTATTCATTAGTAACGCGGTAGCGTTATTAGTAACGCGGTAGTGTTACTAAGTAGGATCATAGATACTATATACCCCTGGATATGAAACACGGCCCGACCGGATGTTCTGAGGCTTGTTTCACCGGAAATACGTCATATTACGTTTTCATTCAGAATAAAAATAAAACAATGATAAAAAGTAATATTTTTGCTAATAAAAGTGTGATTTTATGTACAATAAAACTTGACATTTATCATGCATTATAATTGCTGAAACTTTCCTTTTTTTTTAGTATATGCAGTCTCAGTACCAATGCATGACTTTCCCATCTCTTGTCACCTAAAAATGATGATTTTGACAACACAATTGCACCAAAACTAAAAATACACTCCTTTTGAGAATAGGCCCACTACAACTACCTATTCTCAAGCTACAAAACCATATAAAAAAAGTTCCAATTAAGTCAAGTATTACAAAGAAAAATTGGCTAGAAAGGTGGGGCTTGAAAAACCAAGATTTAGAAAATAACAGCTCTTTTACTTAACACAAACTCTAAATAATAACCCCACTACAACTAGTAAACAATAACCTATTAGTACAATAAAAAATGTTGGCCTAATTCAACAGAGTTAAGCTAAAAAAGTGGCTTGAGTGAAATGTACACAACAAGTAGGCTATGACATCCATTGTAGAACTAAAATATGCACTCAAACTGTCGTTTATGAGCATTATTTCAATATATAAAGGCTTTGCAAAGTCCTCTGAGGGATCATTCAGCTACTTTAACAAACGAATAGGCTACTGTGATTGTTTTACTTACCCTGGCAGCCATGAATGCAGCGAAACAAGGGTGAGGACAGCCGGATGTGACGTTTATGACGTTTCCTTATGAGATTTTATATGTGTGCATAGAGGAGTTTCGTATCCAGGGGTATATAGTATCTATGGTAGGATTCACCCCACTTCAAAATGGCTGCCACGACTTTTGCAGCCTTGCTATACTGGGAAAACGAGCTCCTATGCTTACCAGACTTTATAGAGGACCTTATCTTGACCTGAGGACTCCAATGGTACCCATAGCGTGGCTCTAGACCTTGTCTAAAAGGAAAGCCAAAAATCGACGAACCGGCCGTTTTGTTCAGCCACCTTTTTTCATCTTCATCATCAAGTCCTGTCAATCCAGTTGTCGGTGTGTATCTCAGTATCAGTTGGTGCTACAAGGATAATTCTTACACCAATCTACTCCAACAGTCTATGCGCAGGTCCATGTCCCATCAGATCATTCTTCAAGTAAAGAAAAAGTGATACTGTGACTGCTGGATAGAGCCATCTTAGCTGCATGCCGCCATTTTGTTAATTAAAGAAGCATGTGCTCCAAAATTTGGGTGTGGTTGCGCATGCTCAGATCAGATCATAGATATTAAATGACAGGGATTGGAAACGGAAGCGTGGGCGTAGCCTAACCTCCATTCATTTGTATTGCTGCTAGGCTGACAGAGGCTCGTTGAAATTTTTTGTCACAATTTACCCTTGATTTTTTTTCTCTTAAAAACAATATCTCGCGAACAAGTGTTCCTGTGCAAGTGCAATTAATGCATCAAGAAGCCTAATGTTTCCTCTTAATAATTCTGTTTTCTATTGTATAGATAATTTTACTATGTTCATGTTATGGCTCTTTTAAAACCATAAAATGTATTTTTTTGTCATTATAATCCCTTTTTTGAAAACAAGCTAGAGTAAGATACAAGATCTTTATAATCATATGAAAGAGCTTTCATTTGCATATGGAATGATACTAGTTAGAGTTAGAATCCATGAAGCATGAGTTTGTTACAACAGAAAAAGGGCGAAAAATGAAAAAATTTTGTTGTACCTATAACTCGTTGCAAAATAGCGTTGTAGAAGTAAAAACCTTGCTGCAGGTAGTCCTAAACTTTTTATATGGAACGGTAGGTATATCATAAGTAAGCGTCCTCTTGGATTTCTATAAATATCCTTCGAAGTCCTTGCAGTACAGCCTCACTAATGGAGGAGATGGGAAATCAACCAGGTATTGGGCCGGTAACCAATAGCAACATCAACTAGCCTACGCCCCCGTTTCCAATCCCTTTCATTTACTCTATTATCTATGATCAGATCTGCAGCTCTGGAATAAGCAATTTATTTTTTTACCAAGCTATGCTTGGAATCAACAACTGCATTACTTTAGTGGAGGTTTCTAGCTAAAAGAAGGTATTAATCTTACATGTTACTGTTTTATCAAGTGTGTGATTTTATTTTATTTATTATTATTATTAGAATTTTACAGGACTTATCAGTACAGAGTAGAGAAAAACAGACAGGAGAAGGGCAGAGGAGAGAGGAAGAAAGTCCTGATGGGTTGTCAGGAACAGTTGCCCTGACACCCAGGAAGAAATAAATAAACACACAGACACAGAA